CGAGAAGGAAATGACAACGGTGATCCACTGTCTACGAGTTTGGCGATACTACCTTCTTGGATCGCGATTTGTGCTGAGGACAGACAACATCGCTCTGAGCTATTTCCAAACACAAAAGAAACTTTCCCCAAAGCAAGCACGATGGCAGGACTTTCTGGCTGAATTTGATATGGCAATGGAGTATAAGCCTGGAAAGGCAAATGTCGTGGCCGATGCATTGAGTCGGAAAGTGGAGTGCGTGAATGTCGTACAATTGGAGGGCGGAGGCCAAGCAAGTCAGTTGCACTCCAACTTCCTTTCCAGGATCAGGGATGGACTATATAGTGATCCCCAGGTAGTTACCCTGATGCAGCTCATTAAAGAAGGCAAGGCACGACGATTTTAGGTCTAGGAGGGACTCATGTATACAAAAGGGAATAGGGTTTATGTTCCTCGAGTGGACAATTTGAGGCGTGAACTCTTAAGAGAGTGTCACGATTCCCTTTGGGCTGGACACCCAGGTATTCATCGAATGTTGGCTCTCGTGGAGAGGGCCTTCTACTGGCCGAAGATAGGGACTGATGTGGAGGAATATGTTCGAACGTGCCTCACTTACCAACAAGACATGGCGGTGCAGGGGAAGTCGGTGGGACTTTTGGAGCCGTTGCCCGTACCAGAAAGGTCGTGGGAGAGCATTTCCTTGGATTTCATATCAAGCTTGCCACTTGTAGGGAGACTCGGAACGATACTTGTGGTGGTCGATCGATTTTCGAAGTATGCAACTTTCATTGCTGCTCCCCTTCACTGTTCAGTAGAGTAGGATGATGAAGGATGTGGTGAAGTATTGGGGAGTCCCGCACAATATTATCAGTGATCGTGATGCTCGGTTCCTGGGACGATTCTGGATCGAGCTATTCAAACTGTTGGGATCCAAGTTATACTTCTCCACAAGTCTCCACCCCCAGACGGATGGCCAATCCGAGAGGATAAACTCGTTCCTGGAGCAATATCTTCGGCACTACGTGAGTGCCAACCAACGAGATTGGGTGAAGCTGTTGGACATTGCCCAATTCTCCTACAACTTGCAGCGGAGCTCTGCGTCCAACAAGAGGCCCTTCGAGATCATTACAGGACAACAACCGTCAACTCCTCACACCATGACAATTGGGTATACTGGGAGTAGTCCGTCAGCCTGCCACTTCGCAAAGGAGTGGCACCGAAATGCAGATATTGCGCGGGCTTACTTGGAGAAGGCGACAAAAAGGATGAAAAGTGGGCAGACTTGGGAAGGCGACCGCAAGAGTTCAAGTTTGGCGATTTGGTGTTGGTAAAGCTCCAACCAGCATCACTCCAATTCTTTAGAAACAAAGTCCACAAAGGATTGGTGCGCAAGTATGAAGGGCCCTTACCAATTATTAGTAGGGTAGGCAATGTCTCCTACAAGTTGCAGCTGCCGGTGTGGTTCAAAATTCATAATGTTCTTCACGCCGGCAACCTAACAGCCTACTACTCGGATCCGCAAGATGCTTCCCGAAGTGTTCCAACTCGGCTACCCCTCATCACAACCTCCTATGATAAGCGAGTTGAAACCATTCTGGCGGATCGCAAGATAAAGCTACCCAATGGAGCTGAGCAGATAGAGTACTTGGTGAAGTGGCGAAAGCTTCCCCGAACTGAAGCCAGTTGGGAGCCTGAAGACGCTCTACGACATGAAGAAGCAATCATCAACAACTACCAACAAGCGTCGACGAGGGCGTCGACAGTTTAAGTGGGGGAGAATGTCACGAACGGTCGTCGCGCACCCGCAACAACTCCGTTCAACGAACCGTTCGTTGCTCTCATCTACATGTACAGCTGCTTGGCAGCATGTTTTGTTTTGGTTTTGAGTCATTTTGCTTGTAGAAATGTAAGTTCGAACAAGTTGCAACGCTACAAAGCGATCGCTCACCGAACCGAGCAAAACAGCCCCAAAACAGCCTAAAACAGCTCCGTTTTCGTGTGCCACGGGCTGTTTTCTGCAGTCCGCTTCCGCTCACCATAACGTCAGCCGTGTCAGCCCCTTGGAACCCCCCAGGTGGCACCGGGCTGGATGGGGCTTCGGTATAGTGTCGGGCGTTAAACAACCTTTCGCAAGTTCGCACGTTACTTTGACGGGAACTTGTTGTCGCGCTCGGTTTTGTGGACTTGCAGCTGTTCGTTCAACCCTCTAAAGTCCTTGTTTTCCCCCTCTCCCTCTTTTCTCTTGTGCATGCAAGGTGCTCGCTGAATTGCTTGTAAAGCTTCCCTTTTTCGCGAGACGTTGGGACTTGTCCGTCGCTCGTTCTTTCGAACTAATCAACTTTCTCTTTTTACAGGTCCTTCGGGACCTGCGAGAGGTTACAAGTGGACTGATCTTTGCGGAGCAATATCGCAAGGGCGAAGCGCGACTTAGGCAACGCAAGCTAAGTTCGCGTCTTGGCCGCAAGGGTGCCTCGCAACTTAGGCAAGGCAAGCTAAGTTCGCGTTTTGGCCGCAAGGGTGCCTCACGCCTTAGGCAATTCCAGCTAAGGCCATGACACCATGTCAGTTTTCTATTTCCCCTTTATTTGATTCTTATAACTTCACTTTTTCTTGTTTTGCTACATTGCCATTCTCATATATCTGGAAATATCACAGGAGACCTTTTTCATATCAGTTTAAGTAATTGAATGCTCACTATATATTAGTTATTTCTATTGTGAATTGACAAACTGGGCATGAATTTTCGGTACATCCACTGTGAGATTAGTTTAAAATGAGTCTAGAAACTTCAATCTATGTTTAAGTTATTAATTTAGTTTGGATAGATTTGATCACAAGTCTGTGTGGTAGCATCAACAAGCATCTTTTTGGTTAGTATAGCTAATATTGCACCCACAAGTGTTTCTAGCATTGTTTTTGTTGTGCTGCAATTTTATGAAGTGACGCATAATGCATGAAAACTTATGGCAGACTTCCAGAACTGATACTTTTCTAGCTTGAAAAAATTGAACAATTAGTGTGTATTTTTTCCACTACCTTTTCCACCAATGTCAGTAGCTTTGCTGCTACCGATATTTGTTAAGAAGTTGTTTTACCAAACATTTATTTGATCTGATAATCACTTTGAAGTTAACAGACCTTTTATGATTAGACATATTGCAAGCATTTGCAATCATTTCCATAAATATTCTTCCAAAAGGAACTTTTCAGAAATTTTTGATGAAGACACCCTAAAGTATTTGTGAACATGTTGAACTTTTTCATGCCATATTTGAAATTAGCAGTTTCAACAAGCTTGGTCATCAAAGCATGGAATTAATATCATTCAGTAAAGGTACATCTCAGTTGGATTGTGAACATGTTAGTCAGTCTTGTGATGTATCAACTGATAGCTGATTTATTTATTATAATACTACATGAGGGTAACAAATTTGTCAATTTACAGTTCATTAGGCACTCTGTTCAGATTCTACTCTATATACTCTTTTTTTTTTAAACTTATGTCATATGATTGCAGGATCATCACTTTGCATTGCTGCAACGAGAGACTGAAAAACTTCGAGTTGATATCGATAAAATGCGTAGTGAACTTAGGTCTGGTTTGCATTGAACGTAGTTGATATACAGATTAATACTTCTTTCTTTAATTTAAACTCACTGTCTTGAACAGATATGAAATTGACAAGGTAACCGCTGGGCAGCGCTTGGATCTAAACCTCGAGAGAGGGTAAGGGATGGTAATGTCTATTCGATAATGGAATATGTGGTGATATCTCAGGCTGAATTATTGTCCATATTTGTTACAGAAAATACACCTTTTTAATTTAACAACTAGGTTAACCATGCTAGTTCAGATGAAGAGATCTCGATTGCATAAGAAAATAGTTAAACTTGGTGCTAAATCTGACTCTTACTGACAATCCACTAGATTGTTGTTGGTAACAAAAAACAAGAGTTCATGTTGATTTGAATTCTGATTTATCCTCAAGACGTTCCGGTCTGAGTGTTGCTAGATCACTGTGCTAATGTTGATCCAGTGTTTCATTTGACTTTGTTCATTTTTTATCACCTTTGTTATGCCTGGAACAAACAAATAGGACTACCATCAGTAGCATTGATCAATGATTATGTATGTGCTTATTGCAAGTAGCTTTTCATTTTTCATGTGCTGTACTGGACGAATGTAGTAGCTTTACTTTTAACTTATTTTTTCTAATTTTTTAGGCGCATACGTGACGAGTTAGCCAAACAAAGTGCAGAAACCACAGAACTTACTACCAAACTCGACAGGGTAAGTTTCCGAGATCAAGGAGAAAAAAAATTACTGATAATTCTGTGCGTAGTTTTCGGTTTAGTATGTCTAAATTTGGTTTATCTTTGTAAATTTTCCAGGAAATCCATGCATTAAGGGCACAGTTAGAGGCAGCAAAATACGATGTCATAAAGTATTGCATTGGTACTCTTGTTTCCATATCTGCTGTTGGTCTAGCTGTAGTGCGCATTCTGATGTAAAAGCCATTCTTCCCTTTGGCAAATTAGATGTAATAGCCTTTTGGCAACTTTGAATTTCCATCATTCTTATTAATATTGTTTTGATGAAGCAAATTGAAATCTCTTGTAGCACTCAATTTGAATTATTTCACTTGATAACATGCAATTTCAGTTTTGGCCACCCTTCAAGTTTTCATA